CTTGAACTGTTGCTCCACTTTTAACAATAATGACTTCACAGTGGTCAAAGAGGCATAAATTAAAATCAATGATTAAGTCTACAGAGTCAGAAATACTACAACAATATAATGAAACCAATAAACAGAATTCTGTCACAAGAAAACCGTGTTGAAGCAGAAACAGATTATGTTGAGTACTCTAAAGTTGTTAGAGAGTCAGCTGGTTTAGATTGTAATGATTGAGTCACTGAGTTCTGTTGCATCCAACATATGGCGTCACCTGACGCCAAAGGATGAGAATGTGTTGTAATGACACAGTCAGCTCATCAGACTTTGACTCTGATACTGAATCAGAAGCTCAGACGAGTGAGTTTCCTTTAAGGAGTTTGTGATATTGGGCCTCTACCTTCTCTGCATTCAGTGCATTTAAGTAGTTTGTGAATGTTTCATTCAGAATTGTCCACAGATGCCAGGACAGTTCCATCTACCATAAAGATGGAAGGTGGGGACTGGGGAGTATTATCATTTTGGCTTGGCAAAGGGGATAGTGTCCCCCTTGTCAATGTTTGAAAAGCTTAATCCTGTCTGAACAATTGCAAACAGTTAAATTACAGTTCAATTTAGATGGGCTTCCACTTTTCAAAAGCTGTACACTTCAGTTTGGGCCAATTCTTGCCATTGTCAATTGTGACTGTACCAAACATCCATTCCTCGTTGGCCTATGTAAAAACCCAAGTGCATATTTGAGTTCTTAAAGCCATTTATTGATGATTTAGCTGATGTTCTTATGCGTGGTATTGTATACAATGGTCGAAACGTATTGGTACAAGTATACTCTTTTGTGTGTGATGCCCCTGCCAGAGCCTTGGTTAAAATTACAAAATCTCACAATGGCTACTCAGGCTGTGAGAAATGTGTTCAAGTGGGTGTGTGGCAAAATAAAATGACATTCCCAGAAACTGATGCAAAGTTGAGGCCCGATTCTAATTTTAATCTTTAGCTGGCTTGGTAAAAATATGTTTCCATTAGATTAAATGCACTTATGCTGTCTAGGTGTCAATAGGAAACTTTCTAAAACTTATGGATCAGAGGTAAAACAAATCAGATTGTCCACATTTCTGAAAAGTTGCTGAGTCCCTACACACCTGTTGATTTTAGCCGGAAACCAAGAGGGTTATCAGAAATTGACCACTGGACAGCGACTGAGCTGCTCTCATTTATGTTGTTCACAGGCCCTGTTGTGTTTCAGAATTGCATTCAAAAGCATGTATGAGAACTTAATGTTGTTTTCTGTTGCTTTGTATTTGCTTTTATCTTCTGGAACCCCAGAGGTGATGATTGATTGTGCTGATGAATTGCTTGTCTCTTTTGTACGCCACTTTGGACAACTGTATGGTAGACATGAATATATGGTAGACCTTTGGATAATGTGTCAGCATTTCCTTTTGATATTTATGTCAAATAAAACAAATTTTGCTCAAGGGTCAATTACCCTCACAGCAAGTTCTGAAAAGGTTATCTGAAAAATGCCAAATGCGGAGTAACCAAAGCCTTACAAGTACAACTTAAGTCAACCACATTTTGATGGTCCAATGCTCCATAGCCTTAGTTCAGAAAAGCGGTCACTGAAAAGTACACTCTGACTATCTAGTGCAAAGAGATAATTGTGTGCAAATAGTTGGCCAGATTGCTATTTTAAGAAATATCATTAAAGTGTTAGTTCACTCCAAAATGAAAATTATGTAATTACTCTCCCTACTCATACCCTCACGTTGTTCCAACCTCGTAAGACCTTCGTTCATCTTCGGAACACAAATTAATATATTTTTTATTAAATCTGAGAGCTGAATCACTCCTCCATAGCCTTCTTAACGGATCGAAACTGGGCGGCCCAGAAGTTATTAAAGACACCGTTAAAATAACCCGAGTGACAGTGGCTCAATCTTCTCTTTTGGCCTCGAGATTTCACGTAGTGGAACTGCACAACGGTTCTGTGTTGTATGTCTCACGCAGGCTCAATATTGGCAGACGCTGGTCATGTGTGTGATGCGTGTGACATACAACCTAGAAGCGTTGCAGTTTCACTACGTGAAATGGGTTAGGGATTTTTGTCCTATTTCAAAAGTTTCATCATCAAGTCATTCTTCTCCTACCTGTTTGAGTCAACCAGCATAGGTTGTTATAAAGTGAGGGAGTTGCAGGACAATCTTGATGTGGCCAGGCTCCTAGAGTGCTGAAGTGATGACATCACTTTGTAGGACAACTCAGAAGTTAGCGGCGCATGGGTTCCCTCGATCGAAAAGCTCTGCATTTTACCCATAGACTTTTGGAAAATCACAAAAAAATGAGATCTGTGTTCAACAAAGAGTTGTGACCCTTACACGTTTTATCTATCAAGCTAATCGTTATAAATGAATCCAAAATGTATGCATTTTGAAGCCTATATAAAGTTAAAAAAAAAAACACAAGCAGATTATAACAGGTGTCTTTTATGTCATACATCAAAACGTGAAAATATATAGAGGCTTGTTCACCACAGACCTTATTTCAGGCGATTTAGCAAAAACCCATTCAAAAATCCCATAGATTTTAGGGCGAGGGAACTGGGAGTGCTAAAATGCTAACTAATTTCTGCGTTTTGGCCTACAAAGTGACGTGATAACTTCGGCACTCTATTAGGCTGTAATATGTCCTCTGTCCTGACAAGAATGTCTTCATTGCCATGCCACTCATCCATATGACATAATGATTTTCTTGTAGATTACCACATGCTTTTGCTGTTGTAAGATAAGCTTGAACTAAACATAATTAGTTGCTGCTTTTTTTAAAGGGAAGGTTTAAATTAGTATTATTGTATTGTTAGAGAGGTTTTTTGTTGCTGTTGTTGTTAAAAAAATGAAGCAGTGGTGCACCATTCAATTTTAAAATGGTGGCACACTTAAGTGCCACACCGCTTGCTGATTGGAAAGAAGATTTTATGGCCACCATATCCACCCAAAGACACCGCCAAGGTACGGGCTGCAGTTAAGAAATATGAGCTGCCTACTCAGCAATGGTTGTCCTATGAACCTGTTAGACACCTTGTAAGTTGAGGTCAGTGTATAAATTCAATATATGGTGGAATTAATACTTTACAGTTATTAAACTCACAATTTAACTTGCAGCCACACATGAAGAAGCTGAGAAGAGTTTGAAAAGATGTCTACAGAAAGAGAAGTTTGAAAAAAGAAAATCCAGGTAACACCTGAAATTTCTTTGCATTATTTTCAGAAGGGAAAAAAAAAAATTGGAGGGGAAAGAATAATCACTAAAATAACCTTCCTAGATGTATTTGATGTTTTCTTTTTCTATTAGACCCAATCCCATGTACTGTAAAAAAAAAAATGCACACAGCGTTCAGTGACGCTGATGATGTAAGACGCTGCTGACTTGTTCTGGTGCGTCAGTGTATTCGGGTTCAAATAAATATGGCTGGTCTTCCTCTGTGTCGAAAATGTTTGCGAAGATTGTTTTCTTTACAGCATGCGTCTCCCTCAAACTGTAAACGAAGCTCAGGCGCACCAGTTACATGTCAGCAGTGTCTTACGACATCAGCATCACTGAACCGGAAGAGAATACAATGCTGAAAAAAGTTGTAGTTTTTGTTATTTTTGGACCAAAATATATTTTTGATGCTTCAAAACATTCTAACTAACCACTGATGTCACATGGACTACTTTGATGATGTCTTTATTTCGTTTCTGGACAAGGACAGTATACCGTACATACATTTTCAATGGGGGGACAGAAAACTCTTGGACTAAAATTTTTTAAATATCTTAAACTGTGTTCTGAAGATGAACGAACATTTTTGGGTGAACTAACACTTTAAGCATTTGCCCATTTAAAACCAAACAGGCTGCAAAGCGTCCAAATGTGTAAACAACATGATTAATGCATTAAATCCAGCATAAACTTCAGCACAACCTGCATATTTTTAAACTCTCAAGACAGACATCACTATACCCGAACCTCACAGCGATTGGCTGCCGACCATGTTTTTTTGCCTGATATTTGCATAGTCGAACCTGCCAACTTTTTGACACTCTCAATGCTTTCTTCTCAACTTCCATAGGAATGAATTGGAAACGCTTGCTCTGCGCCAGTGGGCACGCACTGCAAGGACAACATAAGATGATGACGGTAAGGACAACAGAGAAAGATGACGGTAATGATGACTGTAAAGACAACAGAACTAGACTGCAGTAAGGAGACAGAGAAAGACGACATAAAACAGAGAACATGCACATCAACATACTAATTTATCTGTACTAAAAAAATTATAAATTGGTCCTAACTGTAAACAGGGACAAATATATAAACCACAAAGTCAACTAATTGCCACAAATGGAACCTCATAGTGTAAAATTTTACAGTGCTTTCTTGAATTATTCATAAAAGGAATTTTAATGAAAATGTTGTTTGCATTTTTCTAATTTAATCATATTTTACCAAAAAAAAAAAACAGCAACTGTATTATCAACTTTAAAAACTGAGTAAAAAGAAAATTGTAAATATTCACTTTACATCACTTTGTGACGATTTTTCTGAATATCATACACCACTATTACTTATTTACAGGTTTAAATTAGATTATTAATCCTGTATTTTTAATGTTTAGGCTTGTGGACCCTACTTTATGTATAGAATATAGTTCTAAAAACACAATCATGTTATCTGTATCATAAATAGTTATATGTTGCATTAGTGTTTGCAAAGTAATTCCCAGGTATCTTTAACCACATTAAATCTCATTTCAAATGGGCATCACTTTGAGGAAGCAGGGGTAGTTTGAAGTCCACCGTTGCTAGGCTACATGTGGAGCAAGCACAATGTTTTGGCAAGCCTTTTGTCAAATTATGCAAGCGTATAAAAGATTTGCATGGCACGCATGCATTTTTATGGGCCCGTTAAGCAGAATAAAATCTCATAAAATCACATAAACTAACTTGCATCCAAAATACTACACAGGTTATACTCACCTAATTCAGACACAGCAGGATTAATCCTGACAGAAGAGGACAGAAGCAGGAGCATCTGAAGTGAACTCCATACAGGATGAGACATGCTAGTCCTCTTCATCTGTGCCTTTCAAACGAAGATAATGGTCCATAGCATCATTCCTCATCTGACCAAATGCATTCATGCACTGCAAGAAAAACAAAGTTCTCATACTAATGCAGGATTCAACAAAACTCTTGCATTTCATAATCATTATTGAATAGATTTACAGATTTTTTTTCAAAGTATCAAAAATGTCAAAACATACATACTTGTGCTGTGCCTCATTTATTGGTGTGAACGTATCTTCAAAGAACGAGTGCAAATCAGTCACTAACTCAGCAAAGCAGCACCTCCTCTCTCTCTCTCTCTCTCTCTCTCTCTCTCTCTCTCTCTCTGCATATTCCCATTTTGGTTGTGTTTCATTACCGCTATTATCATCACAGCCAGCCTTTGTATACTACAAACCTCTTTACTCTCTTCAATAGACTGAGCACTTTACACCACACAGCAGCAAACTCTCCTTTTACTGATCGTAACATGAAAGAGCAAAAGCGCTTTGTACTTAGAGGATCAGTTAGAAAGCTTGCAAGGAAAGGTTTGTACCCTAGCACATAAGCTTTCATTGCTACTATGTCCATGTAGGGCGGTCTTGGTTTAATGCTTCCCTAATATGGCCAGTGCACGGCAGAAATGAGTGATGATATGATGCTGTAAATATGCTTATATTTCTCTACAGACATTAAAGTTCTCAGGATATTAGGGTGTTCAGTGTCATGAAGATATCCATAGTAAAATATATAGAATTGCTCTATATTCCATACAGTATTTAATGCCATTTACTTCAGAAGTAACTGTGACTGAATTACCGTAAAGAAATTAAGAGCAATCAGTTACTATACGTTTCAAGGGCAAAGCAAATTTACAGTAATTAATTACTCAGTACATTAATTATTTAATGTGTTACACCCAACACTACACAGCAAATTATGTTTGCAGGCCACACAAAAAAATAATCAAGTGATTATGTATAAAGGAATTATTTTGGATTAATCTGTTTAAAATGTTCTGTTTTGGAGCAGTCTTCTGCTTCTTCCATTTATTCATACACAAAAAAAATATTACTCAGAATGGGTCAACACTGGTGATGTTGAAAAATCATTTAAACAAGTTTTATGACGAGGTCGGTGAGGATGGGAAAAATCGTACGTTTCTGTGTTTCGCAGTGTTTCATCAGCGGTGCATTCTGGTACGTAAACAAGAGGGCGCCGCCATATTTTGAGGCCATATCAGGCCAGAAAACAAAGTTTGTTGTCTATTGTTTTGTCCTTGTGAAAGGACATTGCATCCACAACAGGTTCTTCCAATGACTAAAAATTCCTCGGCGCATCATAACAAGTGGCCTCACAATATGAAGATTTTTCCCATCAGCCACTGTGGCGCTAAAGTCGTGACGTTATGCCCCCAAGCCCAATATGGTACAATAGAGTGCCGAAGTTATCACATCACTTTGTAGGGCAAAACTCAAAAGTGAGTTAGCATTTTATCACTCCCGGTTCCCTCGCTCTAAAGTCTACGGGATTTTTGAATGGGTTGTTGCTAAATCGCCTGAAATAAAGTCTGTGGTGAACAAAGCCTCTAAATATTTTCACATTTTGATCTATGACATAAAACACACAGTTATAACCTGCTTTTGGTTTATAAACTTTATTGTGTCTGCTTGTGTTTTTTAAAAACTTTATATAGGCTTCAAAATGTATAAATTTTGGATTAACTTAAAGATTATCTTGATAGACAAAACGTATAAGGGTCACAACTCTTTGTTGAAAACAGATCTTATTTTCCAAAAGTCTATGCTGAAAATGCATAGCTTTTCAATCGAGGGAACCCATGCAACGCTAACTTACAAGTTGTCCTACAAAGTGATGTCATCACTTCGGCACTCTATTGACGTCATTGTTCATTACATTGTTTGTCTTTAGTTTATGGTGTAGAAAGCCTCAGGACACGCAGAGCTGATGTTGTTATGGCAATGGGCGGTTTTGTTTTCAACACACACGTTAGACCAATCACAACAGACCAAAGAACTTAAATTGACCAGACTGAGCTGTCTGGCCAATCATAGCACAGCAACTTGTGGAAAGAAGTGATTGATACAGAGCATAGGTATTCAATCCTGCTCCTGGAGGCCCAATTCCCTGCACTTTCCTGGAGTTTTACTCCAATCCTACTCAAACACACCTGAACCAGCTAGTCAAGCTCTTCAGGATTGTTTGAAAATCACAGACTGAAGTAGGTTTGATTTAAACTCTGCAGGGCAGTGGGCCTCCAGGAGTAGGGTTGAAGACCTCTGATTTAGAGAGATTGATTAATCTGATGTGTCGTTTGAGAATCATTGAAAATCTGGTGATGTGCAAATGTATATTATGAGAAATTATTAGAAAAATACATTTTTTGATCTTTGATACATGTATACCTGTTGTAGAAGACTCCAAAACAGCATTGGAAAACTTTAAAATAGCATAATAGGGGCACTTTAAGAAACAAATGGGAGCAACAGAGAGTCAGTATTATGTTTGTTATTGCTTCATATTTTGTGCTGTGCATCTGAGTTATTTTTAATGTGCTCTACATGTCATAGATCCATAATATTGTTACTATTGTAATCAATTTTATTGTTACATTTAACATTTTTAGACGGTCCAGTCTATAGGGCTGTCAACCTGAGTACTCCGAGGCAAACAGAAATCCCATGAATGAGTGCTTCAGCCTTATGACTCATCTGGCATTGGCCATAGACAGCAGGTGGGTGAGCTAATGGGATCTAATGCCAGGAGCCGGGGGTGTGTTTTCTTTAGCCGAACAACACCCCATTAAATGAAGAAGCAGTTTAGCAATTCATTAACGTATTTAAAATTCGATCCCCTTACAAATACAACCAAAGCACTCGAGAGAAGGCGTTTAATTTGTCTGGCATTAGACATATGGGTACGGTGGAAAGAGTAAAGAGAAAACTTTAGAATATTATTTTTATATCTATATATATATATATATCAATCTATAAATGTAGACTTACTGACTGATAACCAGTGTTGGGGAAAGTTACTTTTAAAAGTAATGTTACAATATTGCATTACTCTCTAAAAAAAGTATTATTGCGTTAATTGTTCATTTTTCATGGAAGTAATGTTACGTTACTTTTGCATGACTTTGGTTCTTGTGGACTTACAATGGCTATCATGCACATATCTGTTATGTCCATGAAATCGTAGGGTGTCCCAATTTCAGAAGGGTGCTCTTTTGCAGTCGATATTCGCCATCGATGCACACTTTTGCCAGCAGGCAAAGGCTTCTTCCTTAAGCCACAGAAGTGTGGACTCATATAAGACCGCAAGTGTTTATGGATCCATTTAGGACAGGGTCACTCTCAGCAAATAAAAAAAAAAGATGATCAATTCTTTTTTATTGGATATAGTAACACCACTCCACAGTAAAACAGTTGAAAGTTGAAACAGTTGAAAGTGATTGCAGTACCAGTTTTGGCCACAATCTTGCATACGGCTCCTTTAAGTTGGACCATCAGAGGTTGGACCATCAGAGGTCAGCAGGTTTAAATACATAAAGTATATTTGGGTAATTTAACATTAATTACAGCAGGTTTGTGTAATGTTTCAAGTTAACACTGTTTTTAATCATTTTGAGGAACAGTGAATCTGTTTTTGTGCAAGTGAGATGAGTAAATTTCTGATCAGTTAGTCTAGAACAATGGTAGCCAACCCCATAGATATCTATAAAGGCTAGATATGTCGTCCACGCTGCTGGCCAATGGAGGTCGACGTCTGCACTTGACGTCTCCATCTTGTCACAGGTAGCTGGCTCACTCGTAACATTGTGTTAATGGTACATGTACTATTTAAATGACCATAACTTGCTCAATTTTCTACCGATTTTCAAACGGTTTGTTTTGTTCTAAACGTCAGAGATGTAGTTATGACACTGCATACTTATGAATAAAAAGTGTATAAATAAATAATCATCAAGATAATTATAGCCACGTTAATAACGTTTGTAAGAAACCAAACCGTTTGTAAATCCGTCAAGATTTTAACGAGATAATAGTATTTATGTTCGTGCTGACCACTCATCTTACATCAGCTTGTCTGTGACAAGATGGCCGCCGCAAGAAGGCTATCTTATATTATATTATCTTATATATTATATTATCGTATTATATCATATTTTATTTTATGCAGGATTGACAATGGCAATTGTTACATAGGCGGAAGGCTGGAAATAAAAATCTACCAACACAATATGGGCAGTATGATGGTAGTGGGGAGTGGGATGGTGATTGTAATGACAATGGTAATAAATAATAAATGGTTACTTTGTTTACGCATACCCACACATACACATACCCACACTCACACCTGCTCACATTCACACTTAGATCAAACACTTAAATCACTCTTGTCACTGCTGGAATTATGGATTTACAAGATTGCTCACTACTGCACTATGTTGGTTTGTTTGTATGTATGTCTGACTGTTAAATAAAAAAAAAATTAAAAAAAATAAATAAAAGATTTATTTTTATTACTTTGATGACGATGGAAACTCCACCGTAACACGTCTAGCCTTTATATAGGCATCAGTGATGCGCGGGTTGATCCGAAATGAGCGGGTGCCTGCGGTCACCCGCGGTTACCCGCAGTTACGGGTCATCCAAAAATGTTTTTAATGATATTCGGGTCGCGGTCGGTCGGGTCGTTTGAAAAAAGATGCCAATTAAACATTTGTATATAGTACTAGACACAGTTTTTGATGAAATATACAGCCCTACACATTATTGGCTGAATAACTGGCACGAAGATAACACACAAGCTCAGTCTAAACAGTTCTCGGTTCTATACTAGTGATTGGAGAACCGCTGTCCCTGTGCGTTCGGTAGCAGTATCAGCTGCTCGTGCTGATCACTTCTCTCAACAGTGGCAGCAACATGTCTCGGTTCAGTGAACTGTTGGAGTTACTGGAGTAAAATATAATTCAGGATATTGATTTATTTCGATTCGGAGGCGACTGTCAGGCATGTCTGAAAGTGAGTAACTTTAGTAACTTGTGGATCAGCACTGACGCAAGACGCGAACTGTTTCGAACGATTCAGTTCGAGTGTACTGGTTCGACCGGTTCACTAAAAAGAACCGGTTCAAAAGAACGATTCGTTCACGAACCGGCCATGATCACTACAGTCTGCAGAGAGATGGAGGCGGCAAGAGAAAAGGTGAAGACTGGGGAGTGGAAGCTCCGCAAATACACAAATAGAAAGAGTAAAAGTGTGGGAGACATTTGCTAAAATAATAATGAAAGATGATGACCAAAGTGCTGGCTTTGCCTTTGTTATGTGTAGGCCTACGTCTTCTTGCGATGCTGTGTTGTTACACGTCTATATGGCCCAATAACGCTCCGATGAGCATTTACTACTTTAAAAAAATGCGGTCAGGAAGCGGGTCGGGTACAATTTTTTTTTTTACTTTTTTTTGCGGTCCGAGTTGCGGGCGGGTAGCTGAAAACGTCGGTCGGTTGCGGGTTGTTTATACATTGACCCGCGCATCACTGATAGGCATATCTATGGCCAACCCTGCTCCTGAGGGGTGGTATTCCAGCAAGCAAGGTTAACTTACCTTCACAAATGCCTTGAACTCTCAGTTGAGTAACCTAAACCAACCTTACTCAGGGCATGTCGGTTCCAAAATCGCATCTGGGAGAAACCGTCTACCCAGAGTATGTTAACGGTGAACATACAAGACATTCTCAACAGATCGAAGAATCCAACGCATTCTCACGCCAAGGCGTCACCTTTGACCATGCTTCAATATTTGACGTTTTAGGCGCCCTTTACCGTCACTTACATGACGCGATCCTAAGGCGTCATCTAACTGACGCTAAAGGAAAGCGTCAGTTAGAGGACGCAGTTAGGTTTAGGTGTGGGGTGGGGGTAGGGTACACGCGATCCTAGGGCGTCATCTTACTGACGCTAAAGGGCGCCTAAAGCGTCAGATATTGAAGCATGTCCAAATGCTTCCCAAGGCGTCAGTTAAGTGACGCCTTGGGGGTGAGAATGGGCTGAAGAATCAGGTCACCATGGAAATGGATGCTAAGAAAAAGAGCTCTATAATCTTTTTTTCTTCTTCTTTTGTACATCGCCACCTAAGTGATACTTTTTCAGTCTTCTCGTTTAATCTTTAATAACTGTGAATAAGAATTAGGCCTACATTGTTTGTTTGATGCTAATTATATAATTAAAAAAAGACATGGCTGTATAAGTTTTTTATATAATATATTTAGAAATTTTGCTTCCACATTGCTTAAAAAAGGTAAAATATATCACATCATGTAATTTTATAGAAATTCCTTATAGCATAACTTTGCATCCCGTTGACTGCAAAAAAAAAAAAACCCCAAAACATTTAAAGGGTTAGTTCACCCAAAAATGAAAATTAAGTCTTTAATTACTCACCCCCATCCTGTACCAACCCTGTAAGACCTTCGTTCATCTTCGGAACACAAATGAAGATATTTTTGATTAAATCTGAGAGCTGGATCACTCCTACATAGACTGCCTAAGGGACTAGCACTTGACGGCCCATAAAGTCATTAAAGAAAATGTTTAAATATTCCATGTGCCTACAGCGGCTCAATTATAAGTTTATCAAGCGACGAGACTACTTTTTGTGCAAAAAAAAAAACATAAATAACGACTTTATTCGACTATTCCATTACTTCCTTATGGGCGCATGCGCGAGAACTGAGATGACGACGTTCTTCTTCGACTACTTCTTGTTACCGGCTGCTCACCGCTTAGGAGTATTTAACAACATTCGATGTAACATTAAACAAAAAAAAAAAAAAAAAAAAAAAAAGAAGAAGAAACTGTATATCAACGAAAATACATACCGGTAAAATGTAAACTGTCATGCATGGAATTTTTCGAATGTCAATTTGCGTTTTTTTCACTGTAAATTATACAATGACTTGTTCATCAAATGTACGATTAGATCTATTACATTTCTTCATCATACGTAAACTTTGTGTTTATGTATGATTTCAGTTTTGTTTTCTTTCACTGTTAAAACCACAAACACTTAACAGTGTAATATAAAAATAAAATAAACATAGACACCTTAATTAGCTAGTTCAGGTTTGATTACAGTTAGAGATAAATTCTGAAGGATGGTATACCAGGAGCCGGGTTGGAGACCCCCTTTGTCCATCATACACAGCACACACAACAGCTCTGCACCTTACTCCTGATTACTCTCAAATTGTGGACAGGAAAGTAGAAAATCAATAGAAAAACAAAATAACTTGCTTGTACTTATTTGAAAACCTTACTGGAAAAGTAACTGAACTGAAATGAATTCAATCACTTAATCCATTAACTCAATCTTTTGCATCTGACTTGCACTGACTGCTTGACACGAATTATGAATCCATTTATATTCCAGGTAGACAGTGAGTAAATCTCTTTCACCAATGATATTGTGAATTTTTCAAAGAACGCGTGACCGTTTTCATTGATATTGAAACTGAACAAAAATATCCTTTTCATAGCTGTAAACAGTTATTTTAGTTGTACTGTTAATTGTATAATGTATTTGCATGTCAATATTTGTACATCCACATGAAAAATGATTACATTACAGTACCAAGTGGAGGCTTCATATGTATTGAGTCTCTGAAAACTAGTCTATTGATGCTTGTACACAGCATTGTACAAAATCAGTCATTTTAGGTTGAATAGACAGACGTCTGTGTTGTATATTTGTGCGTACTGTATGTTTGCCTTTTGCATATGTTTAAGAATTGTACAGCTCATTGGTCAGCTAAATGTTGTTTTTTAATTGCGCTTAAATAAATTGCCTTGCCTTTAACAATTGCAAAAATACAGTACTTACCCATGCAGAGCAGAAGTGTTAAGCCTCAGTGCAGCATCTCTGTCAGTGAATGATTGCCAATGTGTGTCTTCTGGTTCATCAATGCAACAGGCTTGATCTAATGATGGAGCAGCAGACACACATACACACAGATGGGCTGTGTCACGTAACCTGGAGTGCAGAGCACCACCCCTCCACAGCCAGGAACAATACGAGAGGACTAAGCACCACTCTGCATGTGTTCAGACACCGTGCAAAATGAATGAGGCCACAAATATAAAACTAAAACATGCAGTTTGAGAAAAATGAGAACAATTGTGTTTCAATTCCCTCGTGATGGTTATTCATAAAAGGTGTCCACAAGTCTAATAGCGTTTGTTGTACAAATTGGCATAAATCATTTCACACCTGTATGTGTTTGGTTGCATGTGGCATGATTAATTATATTATACCATATGATATATTTAAAACCGTAAAATATATTTAGCTTAAAATACCAATCACTTAAAAAATAGTGATGTGTTACATACACATGTTTTATATTTGTGTATTTTTTTGGGGGTGGGAATTATGCTTAAAAATTGGCTTATTGAAACACTTTTACACTATTAGACTAGCTGGTTAAAAAAATCACGGAAAGGGAACAAAATTTTAGGCCTTAAGTACTAAATGTTAACTTGCTCAGTTTCAGTAAAGACCATAACATTTACTATTAATTAACGTTTGAATTAATCTATGAATCTGATCTTAAGTTTTAATGTAAACAGTCAGTAGCAGAAACAAAAATATTGATTTTATGGAATATAGAAAGTTATCAACTACCATGGGTTTCAGTCTTTGCAAATGTAAATCAGCTTCATTTCTTTTATCAATTCAGCACAATCAGATGTAAATTAAAGTACAAATAGCCTGATTTCTAATCTATGCAAGAGGGTGATTTTAATTAACTGAACAAAGGCCAGTTCTGTTGGCTACTGTGATATTTGCAGTGTGGAACATCAAACACACAAAGTCTGCACTAAATCATTTCATGTTGCTACAGTTATTATCAGCGAGAAGCTATACCTCTTCATGTGATGAACAGAAACAGAATCAACAGAGAAAAAACATCTTTGGCAGGACCACAAGCTGTGGTTTCATTCTTTATTTACATTTTCAATCAGAAGGACTTGTCGTGGATTTCATTTAATCCACATATGTCTGACAAACAACTAATAAAAATGACAAGACAGCAAAATCATCACATAATCAAGTGTTATGTGCTGTTTATTTAGTCATTATTCACAGTGTACACACTCAGCTCAATACCAGCCCGGTTTCACAGACAGGGCTTAGATTAAACGAGGATTAGGCTTTAGTTCCAACACATTTTCATCCCAAGACGTCATCTAACTGACGCTTTTGACCATACGTCAACATCCGACGTTTTAGGGTACCCTTTAACGTCAGTTAGATAATGATATCCTAGGGCGTCAGTTAGATGACGCGGGTAGGTCTGGGGTAGGGTTAGATAGCGTCATCTAACTGACGTTAAAGGATACCCTAAAACGTCGGATGTTGACTAATGGTCAAAAGCGTCAGTTTGATGACGTCTTGGGATAGTTCAATGGGCTATATGCACGCATAAATTCCACATTTGACGCAAGGATGCTCGTCCATTTCCGGTTGTGGAGATTAAAGCGGAGGAAAACCGGGGAAAACGGGATTATGCAGAGTCTTCAAAATTTACTGTCCTCCAGTCTTTGAAATGATACGTTTAGATGTAATTTTATATATAGTTAAATTTATTTAATATAATTTAAAAAAAAAAGCATAAACACAACGAGGGGTGTCTGTTTTATCTGTTTTTGTGACTAACGTTTCTTTAGTATAACCATGGAATATAATTCAATATAAATTCTCGGTATTGCATTGGACTCTACGATCGGCGGAAGTATCGAGCATCCTTAATCCTTCACCGGAAATACCGCTGTGAGAGCCCATTGAGCCATTTAAAGCGTCTTAGGGAAAAAAAGCATTACTTGAGTGCATCTTGAAACAAAACAATGGCACTGATATATTTTACGATATTTTAAGTGCAAGTTTACAGCTCAAACATGCATTTCAGTCCGTGAAACCAGGGGATAAAGTCTCTCACAAGTGAATCTCATTTATTCGTCCCTGACATGATTTTATATCCAAGCTTCATAATCAAGTAAGTTATTGGTTCTCAAAGTTATGTGACCTAAATCGACCCAATGTAAAATGTTGATGTTACAGTATGTTAATGGACTAATCAAGGAAATTGCTATTCAATTGAGATGATAATATAAAATGTTAAAGCATTACTCATTTATTTATATAACAAAATAGGGTCTGTTAACATGCATTAGTTAACATATAACATTAATGAAACAAATTTGTTCTTGCACACAGTATTAACAGTAATAATGTTAACAATTAAAACCTTGACATTAATATTTACAAATTTAAATTAGCCTGTGCTTTCCTGTTGGATTTGAATATTGTGTCCATATCTACATGAGAAGAATCCAAATCCAAATGAGACCTGACAGAACCAGAAGAATTTCCTGTGGGAAACATAAATTAGCTCTGGCATGAAGATGTGGCAAGCAGAAAGCTTGTTCTAACATGAGATGAGTCTCTGCGCTGAGACCTGAAAAACATCATACAATATCTGTTTGTATAATTTAAGGGCCAGTCTGCTTTGATACAACATTTACAGACTATAACATATTGGGCAGTAGCCTAATGCGTTTTACTAATGGAAAAGTAATATAACTAGTGTAACTAATTAAGTAATAAGTAAAGTAATAATATTACTTTTGAAATTAGTAATAATTTCATTTTTCAGGTTTTACTTGTTTGTAAGCCCATTCATGTTAACAATGGACACTATAATATACTGCACTGATTCACTTCACATGTCAGCAGCAAATACAATTCATCACACATTGCAACATAACGTGAGAAATCTTTTCAGCTTACCATTCTTAATCCATTCATTCCATGCATGTATCTGGTCACTATCATGATCCACAGTAGACGCTGTGTGGACATAAACACTTTTAATAAAGTGCAGAAAAAATGATTTAAAAAAAAAATAGAAAATTGCATACAAACATCATACTTTCATATTTATTATCAAAGGTCGCTATGAACATTTAGACATTATTCTCACCATGCGAGTGATCCAGAAGCAGTTTCCTCAGCTCTCTCAGTGTCTGCGTGAGGTTTTTCAGTCTGTGATGTAAGTACGCATTCTCCTCCCTCAGAGTGTGAATTGTATCTTGAAGCTCATATGAAAAGTTCATTTGTGGTATAAAAGACATGGTCAACAAAATAAGACCCAGATGCACTGAAAACATCCTTCTCTAAATGTAGAAGCTGTTGCACACTTTTTTCAATCAACTGATTCTTGTGTGGCCCGCACATGCATGACAAAAAGCACTTAGAGCTGATGCCTGCATTTAGAAATCAATCCAATTCTCATGCACCATTTATTTTGGTCTCAATACAAGCTGTAAGGACACACTGTTCTACAAAGCTCTTTTTAGGTTAACTTTTGTGAAAGAACACTGGTGTGAAAGCCTTTCGATGTAATGTGGTTTACTTAATGTTAGGCATGAATCTAACATTGGTTTATATTCTTTAGATTTTTTTAACAATAGCCCTTACGACTAGCCCTTACCTATTTTTTTATTTTTTTTAAATAATTCTTCAGTTGTTTGTGTGTGTAACCTCTATATACCACCTTTATTGCTCAGTTGAAATCATACAATTTATTTCATACAATTTATTTCATACCACATATTTTTAGTAATCATCATTAATTAGCTAGCTATCATTATTAAACATAAATATTTAGTACAGTAGGCTACTTTTGATTTAGAGTAAATTTAAACTTCCATAGCTCTCTCTTCAGAAATAATCTGCTCAGTGTCTTCTTTAAAACAAGACCAAACTTAGATTTAGGTCTATATCCCAAAGCATACTTCAGTTACAACCATATACGTTTGGATTGTACATTTCATGTGTTCTCAAAAAGGGGGTTGACAGTTAAAAGGTTAATAGCTTTTCAGCCAAATATAAACAGTAAATATTATGAAATGCATAATGGTTCATAAGAAAGCAATTCATTAAATGTATATGTTTGGTAATTTATAACTATAATGAATAAATTACAATTTATTAAATTTTATACGAGTATAAAATTATAACAAGTAGATTTATTTTGTGGACAGCATTTAGATAACGTTTATTATTATTATTATTATTATTATTTATTTATTTATTTTTTTCTTTCTTGGCAACATTGCTACCAGCCAGCAACCAGCCAGCAACATTTCACAGAAAGTGGAGTAGGAAGTGTCTAATAATCATTTCCGGGTAAGGTTCATGGTCAAATAGAATCCAACATGGCTGCTCACATGTCCAGATTGAGGGGATGGAGTCGAGCGCAGAGGTTTGGTCTAATGTGTTACTTATTTACTCACTGAAACTGAAATGAAGAGTGTCTTATGTATAGAGCCGTTGCCACATGTTTTTTTTTGTGTTAGGTATTCTGTCTACTTTGTAAAATCGTTATAGCGGTAATGTGCATGTGATAAACTTCGAAATCTCGCGTGCTTTCCCTGGCGCTTCGGTAACTTAATTAAACTGAATTGACAGCAAATATTTGCCTACAATAGCCAGTGTGGAGTTGTTGTTATTTATTATTTTTGCTCATGATTTGCCTTAGTTGTAAATTATTGAGATGCCCGTTAAAGCAAAGTAGTTACTTGGTTACTGTAAGTTACTGTCAGTATTCAATTCACGTTTCGCTTTTCACAATACATATCATTTCAAAGCAGCTTTACATAATGTGCATGAGTCCATATTACAATTTAGAGTGTTTTGTTATCAGGTAACTGTCCAAGTTATGTATTTCAGAAATGTGCATATACAAAATCACAGTTAGCTAAAAATGTATTAATTTAAACAATGTAATGATGTAATGCAGAAACAATGGGGTTTACTGCACATTTAAGTAATGAATACTTGTTTGTTAACAAATGATTATGACGTAAAAATGTAGCATTGGTGCATGTTGATTCAGAGTTTGCGTCATCTGAAGTCTTCGCAGGAGATGGCGCCGTCTCTTCAAAGTTGTTTGTGGGCATCTGAAGTATATGATTATTGCTAAGTGTCTGTGTGTTGCAGGTATGGCATCGCAGTATGTAGACCTTACAGCAGTGGCAGTGCGTATCCGAATGTGTCCCTGTCCACACCGCTGCCCGGGATCCCCAAACCTCTCTTTGCTTCTGTGGACGGCCATGAGAAACACGAGACTAAAATCACCACCTTAGAAAACGGACTCAAAGTTGCATCGCAGAACAAATTTGGTCAATTCTGTACGGTTGGAAGTAAGTAAAATGTGCAGCAGATACTCTGTTGTTTGATTCTAATGAGCTGATCCAGATACCAAATGTTTTATTTCTCCTGTTTGTTTTTAGTTTTAGTAAATTCAGGTTCACGTCATGAAGCTAAATATCCCAGTGGAATTGCACACTTTTTGGAAAAGCTTTCCTTTTCTGTAAGTCTATTATGATTATGAATTGGACTCACTAAATAGCTTTGATGCTGTTTTGATTTTTAGTGCACAAACCAACTCATTCTTCTTTACTGTAAGTCTACAGCCCAGTTTGGAAGTAAAGATGAAATTCTCCTAACACTTGAGAAACATGGAGGCATATGTGACTGCCAAACATCCAGGTCTTGCATTTATTTATTTTTATTTTAGCCCAAAGTGAATTGCATTTCAAATGCTGTTTTGATTCTTTTCTGTTTACCTCATGCTTTATTTCTTTCTGTCATTTAAAGAGACACAACAATGTATGCGGTTTCAGCTGAAGTGAAGGGTCTGGAAACTGTGGTGAACCTCCTGTCAGATGCAGTTCTACAGCCTCGTTTACTTGGTGAGTATTTGGAAAACATCTGATTATTTTAATTTTTAAAAGGGTTAAAGAGACTCTACCAGCCAAAAGATAGGATTTTTTAGTTGAAAGATGTCTCTTATTGCTCACCATGGCTGCAGTTATTTTATCAAAAATACAGTAAAAACAGTAAATCGTGAAATATTATTGGTGCCCCTATTATGCTTTTTCAGATAATACCTTTTATGCATTGTGTAATATAGTTGTTTGTGTATGTAACAGTCTGCAAAGTTTTAAACATCAAAGTGCACGATAAAAATTGCCTCCCCCCAAAAAAGAGTAGATTCTGAACTGCAGAAACGAGTCGTCAGCAATTCCATTCTCACCTCTGGAACCTACATGCCTACAAATTTGCATAATGCGCGTTCGGAAAATTAACAACAATAATAATGAACTTTAGCTCCGGACAGTGTTGCCAGATTGGACTGGTTTCAAACATCACTTGTGTTGTGCTTTTACTTCAAACAGAACCAATACGACTTTCTTGAAGATTTCTTGAACATAATGCAAAACTTTAAGAGGCACTCTCTCACTCTTATTGTAGATACAACTTAATATATATTTATGCTACTTTGGCATAGCAATCACACTGAATATACAGCAGCTGAACTGACCCCGCCCAAACCAGCACATATTTTGTCCACCAACCCAAAACAATTTTTACCCACAAAATCAAATTCAAACCCACCCTATCTGGCAACACTGTCCAGAGCTGAACTTCAGTAATGGTAATAGACATTTATTTTCCAACATGCGCTGTAAAGGTAGACCAATCACAACAGACGACACCGTCTGACCAATCAGAGCAGAGTAGGCTCTTGGTGCATGTAAACCTGTTGTAGGAGACCTCTAAAACTAAATTAGGAACCTTTAAAATTGCATAATAGGGGAACTTATTATTATTATTATTATGTTTTAAATAAAAATCTATTAGGCTACGTTCACACTGCAGGCTGAAACGACCTAATTCCGATTTTTTTGCCCCTATGCGACCTGTATCTGATTTTTTTCATGACAGTCTGAACGACACAGATCCGATCTTTTCAAATGCGACCCAGGCCACTTGGGTATGTGGTCTAAATCCGATATGTATCCGATCTTTTGAAATGCGACTTCAATCTGAACGGTCAGGTCACATATATCCGACCCGCACGTCATTGCACGCACCTGTAGCTAGCCAATGCACGCTAACTCCAACGCGTTTCTGCACTGTTATGGGCTGCTGCAGACGTGTCTCTTCCCCAGTGTTGTGCCTGAACGCGTTCAATGAACGATAGTGCATGAACGCGTTCATATTTTCGCGTATCATATTATTCACGTTCGCCCGAAATAAACATACTGTATTACTGCCTGATGAACATTACTGTGAACACGTTCATTCTGGTGTATGTGAACGTGCGCTCTCTGTCAGTATAACTTTGTACAGTAGGGTGCCAGATATAGAGCCTTCCAAGCGAAAACCTGGCTAAAACACATGTGAACTTGCCTTAAAATATAGCGAATAACCACCCAATCTGGCAACACCAGCCACCAGTGTCGCACCGCGGCCGCCGGTGACAAAGCAAGGAGCGCCGCGGACACGCACTATCATTTAAACGGGTTTTATGACGAGGTCGGTGAGGATCGGAAAAATCTTACATTTATGTGCAAACTGCCCGTCGATAAAATAATTATTGTCTGTGTTTGTATATGGGCTGTGGCAATAATAATAATAAAACAAAAGCTCGCAACATATGAAAAAAAAGAACTATTCTGCAAACAACAAGTGACGTCTGGGACCGTTGATTACTCTTCTGGGCATGCGGGTCACTTCTGGATCATTTCACGTTCACACAGGAGATCACAAAAGGTCGCATTTAATTGGAAATGTGAACGGCCTTGCAAAAAAATCGGAATTGAGCATTAAGCCCTGCAGTGTGAATGTAGCCTTAGTGTCAGTAGTTTCTGAAAAAAAAAATGTATCCTGAATCCTTAAAGGGGTGATGAACTGAGAAATCAAATTTTCCTCAAGCTTTTGACATCTAAGAGGTCCTCATATTACAAGAATATCCTGTAAGTTTCAGAACAGAAAACGTCCTTGTTAGTCCAATAAAAGCTTTTATTGACACCAGGCTCTGCAATCGATTTGTTTTTCAAAGTATGCACTAAGGGAACTATGACGTCAAAGAGGATAAAACACACCGCCCCCGCAGAAGAAGATCAACACCTACTTCAACACGGCCGGTTTAGCCCCACCCAACGATTCGCGCATTACATGCATAGCTAAATAACATAGATGCCTACCTCATGATGACAAACCAGATCGAGCTACCAAGTAATACAAAATATTGTGCAGTGCCTGGTTGTGGAAGAAGACAGTCGATGCATAAGCTTCCTCTGGATTCCAATAGGACTGCATGGATAAACTTTATTTTTAATGACGTTCCAGCTGATGAGGTAAAACATGTCCATCTGTTCGCTTCATTTCACTGAGGATTGTTTTGTGAACAAGACTTTAGGATTTTAGACCGATTAACAGTAAAGAACGGTGCTGTGTCGTCTATATTGGATCCGACAGGAATTGTGCAACACACAGACTCTGGGTCGAACATGTATGGGCGAATCATTCCGGTTGCCATTTTACAACATCGGACATTTTCAGAACACTGACGGTTGAGTCGAAACTCATTATAATGCAAAACTGTTCTCCACTCACAGCAGTGGACGTTTACTTCCAAGTCTTCAGTGCGAGACGCCCATAAAAACCGAGCGTTTTGGTGCTAGGCTCAAAAATAGCCTATTACTTATTCATTTTGATGTTTTTGAATGTAAAAACCAAGCGAACCTCAGTCAACAATATAATGAAATTTAAAAAGCCAGTTCATGACCCCTTTAAAAAAATGTATCATGGTTTCCACAAAAGTATGTAAAACATTAATAACTTTTATTAAAAGGTATTAAGCATCAATAATATTGATAACTGCATCAAATCAGCATATTAGAATGATTTTTAAAGGATCAGTCGACAGTTGTGGCCTTAACCCCCCAATCACTTCCTGGGTGCCACAGAAAAATGGCTGCCCACTGCGCGTCTGTCTGTTTTTTGTTTTTTTATTAATGCAATGTTAATAAACAGAACAAGTCAAGACATACAAGCAGTAAACAATCTATCAAAACAAGGAGACGTTATGATATCATTTCTAAATTTCTTTAAAAAAGTATTTAACTGGATAAAATCTTTGAATAATTTTATAGGATATTTCTTCAACTTTATTTGTTAGAAAGAATTTCTGAGCGCGTCTGTCTGGTGTCTGTTCCCTACTCCTTATGTGTGTGGACTTATTTGGATGGGTTAAATGCAGAGGACAAATTCTGAGTATGAGTTACACACACGTGTTGGCCTTCACATATCACTTTCTTTCATCATGTGACACTGAACACTAGTTCAGCTTTGCCATCACAGGAATAAATTACATCTTAAAATACAAAAGTTATTTTAAATTGTAATAAAATTTCTGAATATTTTTTACTGTATTTTTGGGACTTATTAAAAAAAAAAAGACTGGTAATGTAACTTTATAATATTTTCTTCAGATGAGGAGATTGAGATGACCAGAATGGCTGTTCGGTTTGAGTTGGAGGATCTGAACATGAGACCTGACCCGGAGCCTTTACTAACAGAAATGATTCATGCAGTATGACCACTTCTACAAATATCAATACCTTACTGTAGATCATTGAATTGAGTTTGTAAGTCTTATTTTGTTGTCTCTTCAATGTTTAGGCAGCATACAGGGGCAACACCGTGGGCCTGCCTCGCTTCTGCCCTGCCAACAATGTTGACAAGATCGACAAGAAGCTCCTTCATAAGTACCTGCAGAGCTATTACTGCCCGGAGCGCATGGTGCTGGCCGGGGTTGGGATTGAACATGAACAGCTTGTTCAGTGTGCCAGGAAGTATCTCCTAAATGTTAAACCTGTATGGGGCTTGAGCACACCTGCCAACGTCGACCTGTCTGTAGCACAATACACGGGCGGCATTGTTAAGGTGAGCACCTTTTTAAAGGCTGTGACACACCTAGCCGAAGTCAAAGAACTAACAGTAAGGAAAAGCCGACTGTTTTGTCGCCTCCCATTGCCTGGATCTGTGCCTAAAAGCTGCACCTGAAGACACCAAAATAACTACAGGTGACTGCTAGGGATGGGAATCGAGAATCGGTTCCACTCGAGAACCGGTTCTAAGTTTTATGATCCATCGATATTGTATGCCTTCGACGTTAACGATTCCTCTTATCGATGCTCCTGCTCTGACTCAACCATTGTCCCTGTTGTATTTTTTCACAACTGTCCAACTTTCACAACTTTTGTACCGCCAAAGCCTTATTTGATCGGTGAGTAAAACCGTCTCTCTCTGTAGTGATGAACCGCTGCGCTTGTGACAGCACGCATGTTAAACTGAACGAGCAGGGAGAGAGAGAGAGAGAGTGCCCCGAACGTGTGCGCGCTCTCTCTCTCAGGCTTCCCCGTCTCAAAACTAAGCGCTGTCTTGCTCTCTCTCTCTCTCTCTCGCACATATTAATCAAAATAATCGACACGATGGTAAGGTCCGGAGACTAAAGTTTCATGTGCAGCATCTGGAGATTTGTTTTTCCAGAATTACCGCTGGCCGTGAATTGTGCTAAAATAGGCCTACGTTGCCTTATTATCTTCTCTGAAAAGCGTTCCGCACATTCAGCTGACAAACCACACTTCAAATAAACGAAAAAAAACGATCCAGTGATAATGTTTTCTTTGACACACATCTTGTGGGATGTCCCAACCGCCGGGATAATCGCACAACGCGCACACGTCCGATGATGACGCGTTCAATTCGCGAACTTATGACTCATTTGAACCAGTCTATGATTTGAACCGATTCGTTTTAATGAATGGTTAAAACAACTGAACTCACGGGACTTATAATCGGTGAATAGCTAATCATAACACTTTTCAATAAGGTTCTTTCCATTTATTACATAAATAAATACATAAAAAGTACAGTTTGCTTAGTCAAGTGTAAGGTTTAAAACAAATAAAACTTGTTTTCCCCCCTGAAAAAGCATATGATTACTTTTTTCCCACACAGTGCTATCAGGAATCGATAAGAGAATCGTTAAAGAATCAGATCGATAAGCAGAATCGTTAGTGGCATTGATATCGATAAAATCTTATCAATTCCCATCCCTAGCGACTGCCAACTAGCATGTGCGTTCTGCGCCTGTGTGCAAGGAAATAACAGTGTATATGTCATTTTCAAATACGGTAACCGAAACTGGGACTGCAGATATACAAACTAAACAAAGCAGTGCTTACCATTTTGAATATCAGTCATGCTGATCATTACTTATTTATTTCTATCTTCATGTACTGACACTTTCGCTAACCCGAACAGCCAATCAGTGCGATCCCTCTCACCGACAGCCCTGACCACCACAAAAACTAACCCATTGCCGACTGTCGGCATGGTGTGTCACGGCCCAAAGAGCAGCAGAATTTTAAAGATTCACGAATTACTAAAGCTAAGCTTTTTGTCTCATATCAGACGGAGAAGGACATGTCCGACGTGAGTTTGGGTCCGACACCCATTCCTGAACTAACGCACATCATGATTGGGCTGGAGAGCTGCTCTTTTTTGGTTTGTTACACATATTAAATCAGTTCAATTTCACACTTGCTGAGATTGGTTGTGTGCTTATATAAGTCTTTTTTGTGACTGACTGATAGGAGGATGACTTCATCCCCTTTGCAGTCCTCAATATGATGATGGGAGGTGGAGGGTCCTTCTCTGCCGGAGGGCCAGGAAAAGGCATGTTCACTCGTCTCTACCTTAATGTGCTCAACAGGTGTGGCATCATTTCTTTATGCTCTGAAACTACCGTTATATGGTGAACATTTTTTTAGCAGTCTGTTGTCGTTTGGACAGGCATCACTGGATGTACAATGCGACTTCGTACCACCACAGCTATGAAGATAGTGGTCTTCTGTGTATCCATGCAAGTGCAGACCCTAGACAGGTACTGTAGTTAGGTTTACGTGATAAATAGTACTTCAATACACAGTATTTTTTTTTAACTCATCATCTTTTTAGGTGCGAGAAATGGTGGAGATCATTACAAGGGAGTTTATTCAGATGACTGGGACAGCAGGAGACGTAAGCACTTCTTTCGCAAATTGTTTCTCGTTCTGAATTTGTTGCTATTTTTTGCATTGTTGCAAATCTCTCACTTGTGCAGATGGAGCTAGAAAGAGCCAAGACACAACTGAAATCCATGCTCATGATGAACCTGGAGTCTCGACCTGTTGTTTTTGAAGACGTGGGTCGACAAGTACTCGCGACAGGCAAGAGGAAGCTCCCGCATGAGCTGTGTGAGCTTATCAGTAAGTGTTGATGATACTGCAGCGTAAAGTCTATATGAGCTCTTAATTTAGCTTGTAAATTTACTTAAAGGCGTAGTTCACTTTTGAAAAAACTTTTGCTGATAATTTACTCACCCCCATGTCATCCAAGATGTTCATGTCATTCTTTCTTCAGTCGAAAAGAAATTAAGGTTTTTGATGAAAACATTCCAGGATTTTCTCCTTCAGATTTTCTCCTTTTCTCCTTCTCCTTTCTGGACTTCATTAGGAACCAAACGGTTCAAGGTCCAAAAGACACTTTCAGTATGAACTGCAAACTGTTCAAATGGCTTTAAACGATTCCAGACGATGAATAAGGGTCTTATCAAGCGAAATGACCACTTATTTAATAAATAAATAAATAACAAAGTTTAAGTTTTAAAAGCTCAAATGCTCACCTTGCTCTATTCAAACGCACTTGCTCTTGCTCTGTTCAAACGCACGTTTGTGACTCTCCTGTTCGAACTCGTTCATCAAAATGAACAAATCTTTTTCCGAGTCATTTGGTTCATTCAACGAATCGTCTGCAATCATTTAAAGCCCTTTGAACACTTTGCAGTTTGTACTGAAAGTATCTTTTGGACCAGGAACCATTTGGTTCCCACTGAAGTGCATTATATGGAGAAAAATGCTGGAATGTTTTCATCAAAAACCTTAATTTCTTTTTGACGAAAGAAAGAAAGACATGGACATCTTGGATGACATGGGGGTGAGTAAATTATCAACAAAAGTTTTTTGAAAAGTGACCCCAAACTTTTGAAAGGTAGTTTAAAGGATTAGTTCAGTGATTTTAATCATTTTAAGAAATTCATCAAGGATGCAGTGAATTAATTAAAAGTAACAGTAAAGACATTTATAATGTTTCAAATGAATGGAAAGAAATTCAAAAGAGCAGCATTTTTGAAAGAATCCTTAAATAAAAGTATCATGATTTCCACAAAGATATAACACAAATTTTTGATCAATTAACAATTTCTTTGTTTTAGGTAATGTTACGGCCAGTGACATCAAGAGAGTTACAGCGAAAATGCTGCGTAGTAAGCCTGCGGTAGCTGCGTTGGGAGATCTTACGGAGCTGCCCTCGTACGAGGACATTCAAGCCGCGCTCTCGAGTAAAGATGGACGTCTGCCTCGCATATACCGCCTGTTCCGATAGTGGACCGACGGCTGACACCATCTAGAGACAAATAGGAGCACTGACCAACAAATATTATTCTCAACTGGAATTTAAGTGCAATGCTTAGGACTGTCTGTGGTTGCATTTCATCTATATAGTGATGTATGCTACAGTCATTTATTCACCTTCATGTCATTCCAAAACTGTAGACTTTCTTAATGTCTTAAGGTTGCTGTGTTTGGTTCCCAATGTTTTTCAAAATATCATATTTTCTGTTACGCAGAAGAAAGAGGGTCAAATAGGCTTTGAATGACATGAGAGTGAGTAAATGACCGTATTTTCATTTTTGTGTGGAGAATTTTAAATGCTGATTTTGATGGCTGTTCAATTCCACTCACCCACATTCATTTTTTTTTTTTTTTTTTTTTTTTGCATGATTTTTTGAACCCACCATGTGATTTCTATCGTTTTGGCTCAATAAGTGGACTTTGCTTTTGAGCTGTGCTCTTGTGTAAAACTGGGCAAAACAGAAAGAAATTCCTCACATTACATAGCATTGTCTTTTCACAACACTCTATAAAACTCTTATCTTTTAGTTAGTTTTAGGTAGTAAAATATTTAATCAGAATGACTGACTGTGCACTTTCCATAGCAGTGAAAACCGACCCATCAACAAATGGTCGACTCTAAAGTATACATAAGCCCCACTGCTCTTGCTAAATCACTGTTAACATGACCCCCAACCCAATTATTGTCATTACCCCTTTATTGCCCTAAAATAACATATTTATTTTATTCCCTTGCACTTCTTCAGTTTACAGTTATATTTTTTCCATTTCTGTTCATTATAGTGGCAATGGGTGAATCTGACATCCCTTGGGAAAAAATAAAGTTTGATCTTTTCTATTTTTTGGCTTTCAATATTTTTTTTTATCTATGAATATTCACCAATATGTTCCTTGGTTTGAATTTTAATAACTTTTTTGCTGCCAAATGTGAGCTTGAAACAAAATCGTAAGAAATAACACCAAAAACAAGTCAGTTTTTGTATTGTTACATTGTAAACAAATATTTGTAACAGGCTATTATTTGGTTTTAAACAGCAGAATGTATTTGAACTCACTGAGGCAATCACGAGCAAGATCGCAGGCACTTTCAGTACAAATAGAACTGAAATCCATGATGTGAATGCATGACTTATTATAACATCAGTCACTGAGATCCATGCGCAAGCAATACCAATACTATGGTCGTTCCCTATGTCGCATTTTACATCAAGTAAGCTGAATTTTGTTGTTAGTTAACAGTTAAGGCAGTAAACTCAAGTATAGTCTGTGCCTCCTCACTTAGATTTTGCACACATTTTAACCAAAGGTCAACTTCTCTACATGACGCACCACATTCACCTATCGATGACAATCAATAAATAAACAGCTGCTAACACCAATAATCCCTCATTTTGCTGGTAATGCTGCTACAGTACAGTTTCCTTTTTAAAAGCAGTACCACTGTTAGCACATTGTTAAGAAACTGTGTAAAAGAGAGACCCGGAACCCAATGAAACCAGGAGGTCAGCTACCCGGTACTGGTATGAGGTGTTTACATTATCAGTTAAAGATTAGAAGTTGAGCAACAAGGCCTTGAAACACTATCAATTGAAACCATACATAAAACAGACTCTTACGGCTTGCAAGTTAAATAGCAGAATATGAAACAATACAAAAAAACGAATTAGGAATAATGGATGTACAGTACAGTTAACTTAATTTACTCTGGTCAGTATAATTTATAGATTTAAAAAGTCATATTTTACAGTTCCAACACTAGCTGCTAAACATCCAGCTGCAGTCTTTTGGTCCCTGGACTGTGCACATCAGTAACGTGACATCTGTAGTACCGAGTTATCCTTTGGTCCTGAAAGTCCAGCTTTCCAAGTCAGTAGCTCGGTTTTTGAAATGATCAGTTTTAGCAACCTATGGCTCTCGCACATCGATAGATCAGGATATGGTGCAAACTGTGCTGTTATTCTGGTTTTTCATGGCTGCCTCTCTCTTCTTCAGCTCCCGTGTGATTCTCCTACGGATTCCTTCTAGGTACAGGCTCCTGTCAAACTGGCCAGCACCCAAGGGAATGCTAGGGAGGATAACAGACGGAGTTAGTTGCTTGAGTTGACTAGACCACATGGCTTGTTCTGTAGGGAGACAACAGCCAATCATCAGAAATGATTGCAAGTGCTGCTTACTTGTCTCTACCAGGACGAAGTTTGACCTGAAACATGCCGACGACTGGCCGGTGATCTGATGTCTTAATGGACGAGCAAGACGTATACTTGATCACTTTAATGTCATCTACTTGTCTGTTTCGATAAAGAATCCGATCCTGTCAACACAAGAGGAAAAATCAACTACAATACTAATATAGTGTATATAGTGACATATTCGCATATAATAAGCAAAACGAAGTTTACGGTATATGAGGGTGTTCTCTGCTTTGTGGTGGTGTCATAGACGTCACAACCAATGTCATACTTGTAAGTAGGAGGAAAGTGAATAGATGCTTCCTGAAACCCTTTAAAAATGGAACCTGCAAAAGCACAAAGAGATTCATCCAGTTAAATCAGTCAAAGAACCTAAAGGGGACATAATACCTGCATAAATTACACGGGACTGAAATTTCTGCACTTGCCTTCCTTTATTTCTTTCAACAGCTGGTCATGTTGTAATAGCGGGCTCATATCTGCGCCTACACCCTGATTCAAAATGGCCTCCACCTCTACTCTGGCTTTATTGAGGCGGAAGTTAAAATCTCCAAACCAGAAGACTTCATCAAAACGGGTTGTGACATCACCTGAGAATATTAAAATATGATAATAATAAATACTAATCAAAATGAAATACACAATAAAACCTTTAAACATGACAAAAGCAGTAACACTCACAGGTGGTGGAGCGGTAAGGGTTGGTATCAGGAAGATTTCTAGGAAGAGCCAGCGCTTCTATTATCTTGTTATAGTCTAAGATCCTCTCATATACTTTAGAATCTCCAGCTGAAACAAACACAAAGACTGGGTTGGGTTTATTTCTTGCTGGGCTGTTTGCCCTTGGGTTAAGTTTGCATAAAATATTCCACTTACAGGTGAAATGGGATGTAATGAACAGGAAGGATGTCCCAAAAAAAGTGAAGCCGATACCCACAGCTCCTTTAGTCTTAATCTGAGATATAATTCGGGTTGTGACAGTAGCATGTTCCACCTCTGTAGTGACAGAAAAAGACACACTTTTATATATTATATAATTCAAACATTTGAGGTCTGTAAGTTTTTACAAGAAATGAATACTTGTATTCAGTAAGGATAAGTTAAATTAGTGATGGACATTTTTCAAAAATATTGTATTTGAATACTAGGGCTCATCAAAAACGATCATTAAGTTTTATTTTATTCATTAAGTTTGGATTTTGTCTGATTTCTCATTGTGATGGTGATATTGTGATAACAGTTTCTCCCGACAATGTTTACACATGACACGTCGATTCATTTGATCCAAAGTAATTCCATTTTGTAAGATCACTTAAAGGTAGTGTAGGTCCGAATTTTTTAAAAAAACTTTTTTTTCCAAATTTCTTTAAACTTTCTGTATACATCAATGGATGATTAAAATCGAAGTACTCTGAAAAAGAAAGTATAAAAATCGAGTGTCTGTAGACCTCTCACGACTGTTTTAAAGACAGCTCATTATTTCCATTCACTTCACCCCCTCCCTTCTGGGCTCCTTCCAAAGCCACGCCCCCAAAACACATGAACGCGCGACTCCGACAGCTGAGCTGAAGACGCATTATTTACCTGAGACGAGCGGAGAGGAGAGGAAGGAGTGCATGTAGTGACATCATTTCAGAAACATGTAAATAAAAAAATCTAACTATCATTATGAAGATAAACAAATAAGTTGTATTTTATTACTCACTATCAAGCTAGCATATTGATATTGGTAAAGTTTACAATATATTTATTGATTCGCTAACAAGCTAGTTATCTATAAGGCAAAGCTAAAAACAGTTTGCATGATACACATTTTTCCATTGCCATCATTTACACTGTGATGAAGATGAATTTCGTGTAAGATTCATAACATATATATGGTATTCTGACTGCATGTAAGAGTTTGCTTGATGAAAGCATTGTTGATTCTGATGAGGACTACACTCCCGAGACAGTTACCCATAGACAGTATAAGAAAGCAAATACCGCATCGTCAGCTCGAGGACAGATCCGTGGTCGAGGGCGTCGTGTAACTAGGGTCCGAGGAAGTAGAGGCCAAGGACAGGGTAGTCGAAGTGCAGGGCAAGGAGCACTTTTTAGACAAGAGGACCTGCGTCGAGTTTTGCATCTTCAAGCTCAAACAAGGGCATGCGAACAGGTACGATCTGGATACGCGCAAGTGGGCAGGTCCTGTGTGGCAAAAGGGTGGTTGCCATAGTTGCGAGAGAGTGACAGTCGCCTAAGCCAATCCATTGTTTCGTCCTGGTTGGAAATAATACTTTATACTCTTTTTTTCGGAGTACTTAGATTTTAATTATGCATTGATATATATAGAAAGTTTAAACAAATTTGGAAAAAAGTTTTTATAAAATTCTGACCTACACTACCTTGAAGTAATTCCAAACTGGAACAATCTTGTTTACATGCTCCACAGCGCCACTTAAAGCATTTAGTTATAACAGTGAGTTTTAGTTTGCATACTTAGGATTTCTCATGGCCAGCAAAGCATGTAGCAAAATTCAAATAATAAATAATTACAGATTGAATATTCAACTGTTCGTGCACACCACTACATTTAATTGATCAAAAGTGAAATGCTATTGTATTCTTTTGAACTTATTCTTATAATATCATTGACAAGTCAACATAATAATATGAAATGTTCCTTGAACACCAAATCAGGATATTAGAATGATTTCTGAAGGAGTAATGATGCTGAAAATTCAGCTTTCCATTGAGAAAACAATTATTTTAAATGGTAATAATATTTTCACAACATTACTGTTTTACCGTATTTTTAACAAATAAATGCCACGGTGACCATAAGAGATTTCTTACAAAAATATGAGACATAAAAACCCTAAACTTTTGAATGGTACTGCGTACTATATCATATAAAATTGAAGGAAAAAAAAGCTTTACCTGAACAAAACCATATGAGATCTCTCCTGACAAATATAGTAAGATAGAGAACTCCATGGGCTGCTGCGTACAGCATCACGTAATATGGCCCGAGAGTTTCCTGCAAGCGGATCTCCCACTCCCTCCTGTGCACAAACATGAACAGGGTAAACATGCTGAGCATCAGGAAAAGACAAAAAAAAAAAAAAAAAATCTTACCTATCTGGACAACCTTCTTGAACTCCTATAACGTAGACGTCCTGTGCGAAGTCTGTGTCGGTTGGGAGCAGAAGATCATCTAGGTTGTATGGAAGCCCCTGAGACCAAGAGTGAGAGCTTAGGCTACAGCTCCTATGCACTTCAACAAGCAAAACATGAGCAATGACACATTTTTCCACACCTTCTCTCCCTGCATGTTCCATGTGGCGATGTAGATACCGAGTCGTCTCTCTGGGAAGTAGCGGTCTAGCTCTTCTGCCCCCAGCAAGGCACCGCTACCCAAAACACTGCCCTCCAGAAAGCTCCTAAAACCACATGCCGGTACATTTTCAGGAAAACAAGAACAAAGCTTTAAGAAATTATCCTTCTAGCATATGTCGCATAATATATTCATTTTACCGGAATTATGATGACTTCACCCAAATGTTCTGAATGGCCATGCTGCCCTTTTCCACACAATGGATCCATTCAGTGACCAGGACTTACTTTTTAGGTAAAAAAAGTATCATAAGAACAACTGTAGATTGTGTGTATGGTCTGGGTAAACCCTACATTGTGGGAATGAAACCCCTCAAGGATAGTAAAACACATATACATATACATATACATATATATATATATATATATATATATATATATATATTACAGTTAACTATTTAACTATAACTAACCATAATACTATATACTTTAACTATATATATATAACTATTTATACAGTTATAGTTTAGAAAATGGTAATAAAATATGACAAGAACTCAGAGTATCAAATCATTTGATATGTCACTGGTTTTGGCCATCCATCTATAATTAGACTGTCTCACAAATGAATTAGGTTGAATCAGATGTTAAATTGAAGTTCAGTCTTTGGTGTAAAAGATTGCATTGGCAATTTAATGAGGAAGGATTTGTCTGTATAATATGTCAGTTTTCTATCCTCACTTACATAAATTAACTATAGTGTCCTGCACCCACTTGTAAAAGAAATCTCTGTCTGAAAATATATATATATATATATATATATATATATATATATATATATATATATATATATATATATATATACTATATATATGAAGAGTTCAGATGCAAAAGCCTCTAAAAATGCCATTTGAAATTGTCTTCTTTAATGATGATTTTTATCAAACTTGTATATTTAAGTTTAGTAATTTCACTTAAATAACAATTAATAGGTAATTATCATTACCATTTAAGTAAAATCACTGAACTTAAACATACAAGCTTGATAAAAATTATCATTCTAGAAGAAAATTTCAAATGGCACTTAGAGGCTTTTGCATCTGAACTCTTCATATATATATATATATATATATATATATATATATATATATATATATATATACATATATTATATATATACAGTACTGTGCAGAAGTCTTAGGCACACTAGTATTTTCGCCTCAAAGAAAAGGTTTTAAACCAGTTATTTATATAGTTTGTTGTAGTGTCTCAGTAGGAAATGTCAGTTTACATTTCCAGACATTAATTGTGCCATTAATTGTAATAATCCAGTGAAATTTTTGAATGCACAAGGATTCTGACAACAGCCAATGCTCCACACGGAGGTCGGATCTCACCATCATCGAGTGCATCTGAAATTATTTGAAGAAAAAAGAAAAAACAGAGACTAAGACCAGAAGAACTGCGGCAATGTCTCGAAGGTAGTGCCTGCCTGCCTGCAAAGCTAAAGTACTGTGAAAAAGCACTTGTGTAAAAATGCTGTAAATAAGAATGTTTCAAAAATAATGCCATAATCATAAATAGATTTTATTTATCAATTCACTTTTATTAGTTAACTATTACTAACTGTTTTTAACTTTAACAGTTAACTAAATCAAATCAATAGGTGTTTAGTACCCTTTACGTTTAAAACAGCTTTTGTCCCGGTATTGCACATAGTTTTTAGTTTTGCAGGTTTTTCCAGGCGTCTTTGGAAAAGTCGTTGCAGTTCTTCTGGTCTTAGCCTCTGTTTTTTCATATTATTTCAGATGCACTCGATGATGGTGAGATCCGACCTCCGTGTGGAGCATTGGCTGTTGTCAGAATCCTTGTGCATTCAAAAAATTTCACTGAATTATTACAATTAATGGCACAATTAATGTCTGGAAATGTAAACTGACATTTCCTACTGAGACACTACAACAAAATATATAAATAACTGGCTTAAAACCATTTCTTTGAGGCGAAAATACTAGTGTGCCTAAGACTTCTGCACAGTACTGTATATATATATATAAAAAAAATTATATATATATAAAAGGTGAGTGGTGACTGAATAATTTTTGGTTTGACTGTATATACGCAAGACATATCAGATTCAGTACCATATTGGTTACAGCCAGCTTTAGATAATGTATGTACTGCCCAATATTGGATACAGGAGTCGATATGGACTGGATGTTTTATCACATTAAGAATTACTAACATTCATAACTTAAGACTTTAAATGTAATCTTTAACAAATCTCAAAATAAATGTCCATTTGTCATATTGCACATTTTTATTATGTTATTATTTTTTATTCATTTAGTCAAGTATACACTTTCAATAAACAGCCATGACATACAAGTAATTATTGATAACGGCCAACTTTTTGAGCCCCTGGTGATAATATGATCTAACTGTATGGAAATAAATCACAAAAGGGTAAGTTAAATGACAATGGATTTTAATTTCAGGGTGAACCATCACTTTAATCAACACATAAATTGTCTAATAGTTAGATATTGTATTTCATGTTGTCCTCGTATAGTCGTTTTACCGTCAAGAAGAACATGAATGAACACTCTGATGGAGTTTGACAGTTACAGGTGCTGAACAAGCATCTTCCTGATCCATTAATCTCCTTTACATTCTTCAGCACGTGAAGTGGAGGATATGCTCAGCTGAGCGATAACTTCAAACAGGCTGTAGAAAAGAAGAAACGAATGAAAAAAACACAAGCTTCTCACCTGTTCCTCACGTCCCGGGGTCTGATGGGGTTCAGAACACTATAGGTGGACTTCATGGAATGGACGGAGGCACTGTCCAACACCATGGTGTCCAACAGCCCGCTATCGCTCAGATTCCTCTGAAGCCTCTCTGACCGCCCCCTTCTCCCCACCACACTGTAATCCAAACAATCCCTGTCAATCCGATTAGTTGTCCTTAAGGACGCGGAGGCTGCGCTGTTATCCAGAGGAGGATATGTGCCGGTGAGCTGCAGTGGGGACAGAATAATTCTGGACGGTTTCATTCGCTCTTTATTCAGATCAAAATCCTCACGGGGGGACTCGTCATTCTCCGAGAAGCTCCCGGCACTTATGAACGGTGGTGTCTCCATGGGTGGGAGATCGAGCGGACGTCCGGATGCAAGGCCCCGGCCATTCACCGAGGCGGCGTCTTTAAGCGAATCGGTGGAAGAGCCCGTCTCACCCGGGTCTGTGAGACTCTCCTGGCTGTTCCTCAATCTTCTCCCCCTCAGCTTCTCATCAAATGAGATGTTTTTACCCTCCATGCCCAATCCCACGGGCTTCGGAAGAGAGGGAGGTCGAGGCTGATATGGACTAAGCTTGGCGTCCTTGTTAAGCTCATCCTGAAGCAGTTTGGTCCCATCATATGGCTTCTTGATGTCTTTGAGCTCCTCCTTGTTGCTCTTCTCTTTCCTCGGGTCTACACGCAGTACATTAATATCTGTTTTACAAGCTGGTTCTCCTGACCCGAGTTCTGCTGGGTTAAACGGGACGATGCTGTCTCCATGCTCACTCATCCTATTGGTAAACTTGGTTTTAGATGAAAACAAGTCCCATGGTACTCAACTCATTCTGTGGAGAAAATGAGACAATTATTGTATAGATAACTTATTATTCTGTCAATTATTCATTTTGCTTTAGCGATCCACGTCTTGCCCAATGTGGAATTTTATATTATTTGCAGGTCTGTATAATTAATGAAGCAATATGTGATGAATCATTTTAAAGGGATAGTTCACCCAAAATGCAAATTTGCTGTTAGTTTACTCACCCTCACGTCATCCAAGATTTAGGTGACTTTTTTTCCTTCTTCTTCAGTAGAACAGTTAAGAAGATTTATAGCTGAAACTGTGGTCCCACCCAAGTTAATGGGTGCCATCACTTTGAGATAAAAAAAACAAAAAAACATGCAGACAAAGCAAAATTAATACCCGCGGCTCCTGATTATACATGAGGTCTTAAGAAGAGAAACGATCATTTGGAGCGCAACCTCATAATGAATATTCCATAATTGTTTACAACAGAGATGGAAAATCAGTGTGTTGTATTTTGTTCATCAAAATGGTACTTGTGCTGATCCTGGATGCCGCAACCTATATAAAATAGCTATTAAGACCACGTTCAATCTCAATTGCGACAATTGACTTTTCACAGATTCCCAAGATCGGCATGGACTGATTATGACCTCAATGTATTGTCAGGGGCCGCAGATTTTAATTTTGTTTTGTCTGTATATGCTTTTTTGAATCTCACAGTGATGACTCACATTGACTTCCATTATATGAATAACAGAGGACCACAGTTTCAGCTATAAATCTTCTTTACTGTTCTAATGAAAAAGAAAAAAAAGTCACCTACATCTCAGATGGCCTGAGGGTGAGCAAATCAAGAGCAAATTTTCATGTTTGCGTGAACTATCCCTTTTAATCAGCAAAACAAATTTAAATCAGCACTTTTTACAATACAGATTGTTTCAAAGCAGCTTAACAGTGATAACAGGAAAATGTAACAAAGTTTGTTTCTAGAAGAATATAGCATCAAGTCCAGCTTTAGTTCAGTTATGGTTATTTTTTGTTGTAAAAAAGTTATTAATGTAGTTAATTTATATATTTAGCCGCTCTGGAAAAAATCGTGATGTCATCGTTCAGCTCAGTTCAGTTATCATATAATGATGTCAATGCAGGCAGAGCAATATTATTGTTGAACATTAATGTCCCCAGATAGTAAAAAGGGTTTTTTTTTATTATTTTTTTTTTATATAAATGAAATAATTTTGCTCTTATTTAAAAATAAAAAAAATGTATAACAATACTGTCTGGACATAATGTTTTTGAGTTATTATATATTGCGAATTATTTAAGTGACAAAATTCGTATGCTCATCCATTTGGATAAAAGGGTCTTAAATGAAAATGCAATTTTCTCTCGTAAATTTTGGAAAGATAAAACGTTTTATAGTAAGATAAGAAGCTTCATAGTACCGAATATTCGAGAAAACTTTTGAGGTCAGTACATGTTTAATGTTTAAGTTTTTAGTTGAACCAGGGAGGAGGGAAGGAAAAATGTTACACAATCCATAAACAATAGTTGTTGCAGCCCTACGTAAGACTGTATGAAAAACGCCAAAGGAATAATACACATAACGTTAAATCATTGATAATCTACAAAAAGTTTTATTTAGCAAAGAGATCTAACGTTACTTAAACGGACGTAAACTAAACACAAATAGTTAGGGTAACGTTACAAATAATAACAACAACAGTCAGTAGCAACATCATTATTTTATTATTGATGTCTAACTTTTAATTAAAACTTAAATAAGACTAAAAGACATTAATAACGAATATGATCAGTGATTACAGCTGACTGATATCTCTGTCCCTCACGGCGATGTAAAACTCACGGATGCCACACGATGGTCACTCACACATCTGGAAGAACGATGTGACGTTAGCGTTTTATCTTTCCAAAATATGAATAATGTAATGGAATCAAATCTATATTAAAATACATTTGTGTGAGGAATAAAATGACGCATTTTGAGTATGAAATAGCTCACCGTTACTTCCAGTTCGCTGAAGAGGCAAACTTAATGGACTTCCTTAACAACCAAAGCAACCAACAACTTCTCAAGAAGGGTTTGCTGACAGTCTGCAACAGTGTTTTATGGAACAGCGCCATCGTGCGTTTATTATTCCATCCAGTTGATATTATTTTCACAAACAACAAGTGGCCAATTTTAGCCTGACTTCGTCATACTCATAAATGTTGTGGGCGGAGTTCGGGCTGGCATCCAGGCTAGGCCAATTTACAAAACTATCGACTTATTTATTCAGGAATATGAGAACCAGATGTAGTTTTACGTACCGTTATCTAATAACACTGGAAATTCGATACTTACTGATTACTGTGAAAGAGGAGTGTATGCGTTGCTTTTATAGCGGTAAATGATCCGTTTTTACACTGATACGACTATACCTTTTTTTTTAATAAATGGATTATTAATAGCCTATTATTTTCCTAATTGTTTCCCATTTTATCCCCCAAATATGAACAATTAAATGGACAATAAATTACAAAGTAGCCTGCAAAATAACCATGCCTTATTATGTTTTCCACTTAAGTGAATGATAATCTGCTCCCCTCTTGTGTTTGGTTTCAAATTTTTAGTCTGAAGGCTCATTGTTGTAATTAAACTACCAGTGAGTTAACTATTCTTGCTGTTGCTTTACTTTATGCTATATACATTTACAGTAATAACAGAGTTTTGATTTAGAATTTTATTTTTATACTGAATTTTATTAAGATCATGTAGATAATTTACAAATATGATTGTTGTAAAAAATAATGAGTAAAAATGTAGTGGCTGGTTTTGCAAAACATTCACATTCAGACCAAAGTAGCCGACTTCCCGTTGGCCTGGCTTAAAGTTGTTCGGCCTGATGAGATCTATACGAAAATAATCTTGTTACCTGCTGATATGTTTGTGAAATAGCCTATGTTTTAGCTTATTGTCTGTACTGAAATATGGTTTTCGTAAATGCTTATCTTACCATTCAACAGAATTGGGAAGGTTTATATTACTGATTGTATAAGTGGGTGAATAAAATCATTTAATTTCATGTGATCAAATCTTAGGTCAGAGAATTACCTTGATTTCATGGTAACACTTAACAATCAACAGTTAACTATAGGCTACATTAATTCACATGTACAATTAACTATATATCTTGCATTTATTAGCATCAAAATCTGTTAACATGCCATGTGAAACAATATTAACATGACTTTTTTCATTATTTGACTTAAACACAGGTTAATGAATGCTGTAAAAATGTATATTTCTCATTGTTATTTAAAGATTAATGCATTAACTATGTTAACAAATGAAACATTCATTAAAGTGTTAATGATTTCAAAACACAAGAATGCACAGAAGGTTCCCCAAATGTTTGGGCACAGTCTTAAAATGAGCCTATATTTGTGTCCAGCAGAAGAAAGTCATAGAGGTTTTGAACAACAAGATGATGAGTAAACAATGACAGACTTATATCATTCAACGGAACAAGATAAATATTTTACAGCTCTTGGGAAAATGTAAATACTAGAAATCATTAGTTGGATAGATAAAACATGTTCATACAGAAACATGAAATTTATCCCTGGAAAAAAGTGGGGAAAATCCTAACCCTTTGCTTTACTTCTACTGTAAAACACCAACACAAGTAAGTATTGCTATATACTTACAGAGGTTGCTTATGAAATTATGCACATTAGTATTTAATTAATACATTTAATTTGCAAGAAGTCCGGATGAAAGCTTAACTGTAGACAAATACCCGAAGCAAGATTGTAACTAATTAGTCTGCCATTTTTTGTACGCTGTTCTCTTTGTGTTTTACTTGAAACCACTGGGGAGGTGTAACAGCCCACACAAATCTGCTTGATCTTTGATTCCTTTCTACTGTGAGATGAACCATATACTGTCACTTCAGCAATCACCTTTATCAACTGTCAAAACAAAGGACACAGATGATGCTGATTAAACATAATATCAAGAAATGCCTGTCACAGATTAAAAACAAGCTGTTTACTATCCCACTCTTTCTGATATTTTAAAAACATATGATAAAATGGTGAAAGTTATTTCACCAAGCGCAACATGTTCCTGGATTAAGATCTTTGTTGATCCTGGAACAATATTCCAAGTAACCAATCAGATTTGAGGGGCAGTTCACAGTTTTGGTCAGGTTTAGGCTTACAATCATGGTTAGGTGTGTCTAGGTGTGTTTACATACTCTAAACCCCAAGTAGATTTACCCAAAATGAGAGAGTCAAAAAGCGTTAGATTGTGCCCCGCTCTCCCTAATGCACTCCATGTTGTTGCTAATAACAAAAGTGAAACACTTTTTCTTTCTCTTTGTATTTTTTAATAATATATGGTAAGATTATATTATTCAAATAAATGTATTAAGTTGGGTCAAAGTAATCTAAAAGTAGTCTGATTACATTACCTAAAGTGTGTAATGTAATCGATTACATTACTAACTACAATTTATATTATGTATTGTGTATAAATTGTATTTAGTAATGGACTACAACTTAAATAATCTACCCAGCACTAAACACACAATACAGGTTAGCCTATACCTTAGAGCAACAAATGAGAGATATTTAAAATCTGAAATTGCCACTCTCAGAGTGTTGCCCTGCTTTGATATTATTTGGTATTATAATTGTACCAGTAAATTTGCATACAAGATTTTTTTTATGAAAGGTGTTAATGAAAAAACTGGATCTTTAGCAGTTTCTGGAAATGTGTTGAGTTGCGCCGGTCATTCCAGAAGGAAACAGTCCAGATAAAGGCCATTGAAAGTGGTTTTGTGTCTCTTTGGGATGATGGCACCACAAGGCGCCGTTGCAGAACACAAGCTTCAGGAGGACACCAAGATCTAAAGTAGTGAGTTTAGGTCACGAGAATGGGTATCTCCCAATCCGTCTCCAACCGGACAGACGTGGCGTGAGCCGTCTCTGTCTGGACCTAAACAGTCTTTGACTGGGCACTCGGGACGTGAACAGTCCGTGGCTGGGCACACGGGACATGAACAGTCTCTGGCTGGACTGACGGATGTGAACAGTCTCTGGCTGGGCAGACGGGACGTGAACAGTCTCTGGCTGGGCGGACAGAATGTGAACAGTCTCTGACTGGGCAGTGGGCAGACGGACTGTGTCTCCTCCTCCTCCGTCCATGATGGCGTGTGGGTGGCAGTGGTGGAGGAAGTACTGAATCTCAGTACTTAAGTAAAAGTACAAATATCCAGATAAATATTTACTTTAGTAAAAGTAGAAGTAACACAATGACAACCATACTTAAGTAAAAAGTAAAAAGTACCTGATTTTAAATGTACTTTAAGTATTAAAAGTAAAAGTACTTGCATAACAATTTATTCTCATGATGTCTATTTTCTAATGATTAATAAAACATTTAATTCTATAACTTATTCAACTTAATACTCCTATAATGATGTTCAATAATGATGGAAAAAAAAATGTTGTCACCATTTCTGAAACAAGCTTGCAATTATGCAACACATCATGCTTATCCTTACTATATATTAATAACTATGTTTGGCAGTAAACGCCAACGATTAACGATTCAACGACAAAAGATTAATTTATGGTGTTATTCTGAACCTCTTGGCTTGCCATAATCCTAACCAAACGTATATTACACAAAGTGCGTTTCCTATGCACGTAAAAACAAATTTTCGCGTATAAATTGCACGATAAACACACTGCGTGCGAGACGCATTGAGTGTGACCGGGTTGATGTATCTATGGCAACCAAACGTCACTGGTGAGACAAACATGCAATGAACGGACGGTCAAATTACGTTTTGGCAGGGGAAAAACTGATCAGAAAATGTAATGAAAATGTAACATAAGTTAATGTTATATATATAAATATATATAATAAGAAATGTAGTGGAGTATAGAAAGTATAATAATTGCTGCAAAATGTAACGAAGTAAAAGTAAAAAGTATGCACTATTTATTTTACTTAAGTAAAGTAAAGATACGTGAAAAATTTACTTAAGTAAAGTAACAAAGTATTTGTACTTCGTTACATTCCACCACTGGTGGGTGGCTTTGAACGTACCTATCTCTGAGGAAGTTACGGTCTCATGTACGAGCCTGGCGGCTATGGTCTCCTCATTCCCTCTAGCACACATTGAAAAATATGCAAATAAGGATATTGAGGATCCTTCATCCTCTCCCGAAGGGAAAATCTCACTATGCGGTATCCACATGCCAACCGGATCGTACCCATACTGCTGGATCTATTAGTGGTCGAGTCCTTCTGTCACTACACACACACAAAAGGGTGACAGTCCAAGGGCAGTTTTATTGGGTAATCCGTGAGTGTAATTCCAGGCAGGCAAAAGGTCAAAATCCAGTTAAGAGCAGTCCAAAACAATAAACAAATGGATAGGAAAAGAACAAACAGATATGAACAGAACAACAGATGGGAACCGATCTCCGAAGTGCTGTTAACAAATAACAAGGACTCAACAACTAACACAGAAAAAGCCATGGTATACATACACACAGATCTAACAAGGTAATGGGAAACAGCTGAGTGCAATGAACTGATGAATGACAGACAGAATGCTGGGAAAAAAAAGTCAAATGTGAAGACACCGTGAGAAAAAGGACCTCTAGTGACAACGCAGAGAAACACAATCAGACACTGTGACAGTAACAAGCGTGCCGCACAAACCCTCAAAAGTGAGGCCAAAACGTCTCGATCGCCCTCCTGTTACCGGTCCTAGTATAGGTCATAAACCCCACCTCCCCATGTTATTCAACAGAATGTGAGACCAACTAAACAATTCAATTACACTTCACATATCTTTTTTCCAAAGATAGTTTCTGTCATTTACTGTAGTTACGCGTTGATGTAAATTACATCTATCACGTTGATATAATTTCAAGTGTTCTTTTCTAAAATAAGTTTGTGTTTAGTTAGTTATGTGATGCTATAAAAACGGTGCTCTGACATCATGATTGACAGCTGTGATTGACAGGTTCTCTGTGTGAGGTAGTCACTGAAGCACCAGCGGACTTTCTTTAATAATGTTGATTATGGGGTTAGTAGTTGTATTACCTTATTTTAACGAGGTTCTGCAATCAGAGCAGACATCATTGGAGAGGAACGAAGCAGACAAAGGCCACTTAATGAAAGTGCGGGGCGTGTGCTTGCATTTGATTCAGCGAGAATGATTTTGCGGCTTTACTTCCTGCTCACGACACGAGCTGGAGAAACTTTTGCTAGGTATTCTGATTAATTAATTTGTCATTTTGCCTCCACGTTTCCCAATTACCCGCGA